AGCCTGGTGATGGGTATTAAGGAGGGCACGTTCTGCATGGAGCACTGGGTGTTATACGCAAACAATGAATCATGGAACACTACATCAAAAACTAGTGATGTAATGTATGGTGATTAACATAACAATAAAAACCCAGCTCACAGGAAGAAGGACCTAGATCAGCAGATAACATGCTACGAAATAGAACATAATGCAGAATGCTGTGCAGCAGAGCTAACTGTGGGGGAGGGGGGCCCTGAAGGAGTTTAACCAAGGACATGAATGACGTTCTGTGAAGGTTTATTTGTAGAACGAGTTGAAGGACTGACATCTTTGCCCTTGTCCATCCGCATTCAACACATGTTCATTTGATTATAAAGGTCTAAGGTTAAAGGGGATTTGATTTTCCTCTCCCCCTTTTATACTCCAGCCAGAACCTGAGAAATTTAGAGCTGGAGAATGACAAGATTGTTCCCAAAGCAGCGGCCCGTGTCCCTGACGCCGATGAGCTCATTGCACCTGGAACACCTATCCAGTTCGATATCGTCCTTCCTGCCACAGAATTCCTGGATCAGAACAGAGGGAGCAGGTGCGGGCTAAGGGAGGCTGTCTCTGGGAGAAATGAAAGTAAACCTGGGGTCTCTTGTGTCGGCACCCATCTGCCAAGACTGTTGCTGCTCTTCTAGTTCAAGAGTTAGTGTCCCTTTAGCCGAAAAGGTCTTGACTGTTGGACTCTGGCCGTTCCCCTAGGCGCATCAACCCTTTTGGTGAGACTGAGGACGAGACCTTTCCAGAAGCAGAAGGTGAGTGGCTGGTTTGGTGCGCTCACTCTTTCCCCTCACAGAATGACGAGAGATCATTGAAATGAGACGTGAAGTCACGTTCCAGAGAGCCAGGACTTGGATTGTGAAGCAAAAATTATGACCCACAGACTTGTTGTTCTCTGGGAACTCCCTAGGGCATGTGCAGTTAAGGCAGGTCTTGGATAAAAACTGCAGGGAAGTAGACAGATTTTCTACGGGTGTTGCACCCACACCCTTTTTGTAGCTCCTGCGCAGAAAGCTGCCGAGCCTAAATCCGGTATCCGATTACTCCAGATCAGATGTGAGGAGGATGAAATGGCCACAACAAAATGCAATCGGGGGGAGTCCTAAATAGGCTATTTCATTTGAGCCGAAGACACACACACAACTCATTCTTGAATTTGAAAAGGGCAAGGGTAAATGGTATTTAATTCGTTGAAGTTCAGAGATTTGATGCGTGGCATGTGTGTGACAGTGGAGCTGACGTGACCTGGTGCTCGGCTGGGAGCCGAGGCCGTTTCGGAGCCAGAAGTGCTGGTGAGGCCTCGTTTACACGCTTCATGACTGGAGCCTGAGAATAGCATCAGAATAAATGGCCACTTCGTAACTGTAAAAGTAGGACTTGAGAGTCGGTACTCCTTGCAGAATTAGGCAGAAGGGGGTGGGGGGGAAGAGAGGATGGAAGGAAGGAAGGAGGAAGGAAGCTAACAGGCTCTGCCTCGGACCTGCCCACTTGTCTCTGGCTGACCTTCCGGAAAGTCTATAAAATAAAAAAAACTATCTTCATGCGGGAGTAACTACTTGTAATTTTACATCAGTTATATTTTCCTAATCTTTTGTTACTTAAGTTATTTTTAGGGGCAAAGACACTAATAGGGCAAGTGAGGAAAGAGTAGTCATCTTCGTTTAAAATGGTGGGTAAGTATTTGTTCTTAAAGAAAAAAACCACCTTTAAACCTTCGTGATCTTCCGGTTATGGTCGCTCTTTTAGTCAGTTTTGTCAGGTTACGTGCCTGACATTTATCAGGAAGCCAGTCCTGGTTGTTTACTAGAACCAGGTAAAGTAGTCTGGGATGCGCATTAGCTTACGGGATGCCCTCCAGCCCTTCAGTAACACGATGCGCGTGAACCGAATGAGTCCCAACACCAGGTCTTCTGTTGTTCAGACAGGCTTTCTTCTTTAAGAGGACTTTATCGGTGGGCCAAAGCACTGAATTTTCCGTTGTCTAAGTGGAGAAGCTCGTATTTTCAGAGAAAGACGCGTGCAGTGCCGCCCACGTCAGTCACCTAGAGTTTTCGCGCTAGAAGGGCGTTCATCTGGCACTGCTGTCTCATTGTGCAGATGCACAGAAAGAGGTGCTTTTCTAGTCTAATGAAGTCGTTCCAACGAGACAAAACGTGGGCAGGAGGAGACTCGGGGCTTTGGCAGCGTGGGTTTGTTCACGCACAGCGTTGAGCAGTTGGCTGGAAAGCACCCTAGGAGGAGGTCTTCAGCCGGTTCTCTGACCCGCCCCTGACTGGTGGGCGGACCAGCAGCCGCGGGAAGTGAGTGTGATCCTGAGCAGAAAATGCTGTCTTGCAGATTCCCTTTTGCAACAGATGTTTATAGTTCGGTTTCTGGGATCGATGGCAGTTAAAACAGACAGCACTACCGAAGTGATTTATGAAGCAATGAGACAAGTGTTGGCTGCTCGGGCTATTCACAACATCTTCCGCACGACGGAATCCCACCTACTGGTCACCAGCCAGACTCTGAGGTATGTTGTTTCATTTCAGACTTTCTTACAGCTTATCAGATTGCCCATGTAAGGCACATTTACTCGAGAACATTCATACTAGAATATTTGTTTGATCGGAGTAAGAGGAGATGCTACTCTCGTTTCTGCCCTATTCCTTTTTACATTTTGATTTTATAAGACACATTGGGTAGAAGGTGCTCCCCTCAGTAACTGATACCTTCAGAAATTTAGTGGTGAGTGAATCCTACTGCTCATAAAGATGCCATCACTCAGGAGTTGCTCCGTATATCTCAGAGCTTGAAAAAGAAAGGGTTTTCTCATTTCTGAATGTACTATTTATAAAAAGTAACAGTGAAAACAGAACATGAACCTACCCGAGATGACAAGACCACCACTAGTAAAATCTGATTAATATTTGTTGGGGTGAAACTAAAGACGCCAAGTGATGTTATCGACATGACTTGGGGTTTCAGGTGGTAAGATCGATACGAGAAATGGCAGAGGGTCCGCATCGGCTTCGTAAGAGCCGCACCATCCAGGACTGCACCCACGTGCAGCACTTGAAACAGAACTGAAGTCTGAATTGAAATGTTTTAAATGTAAAAAACAAATTTCTAAGATCTCATACTAACCCCCCCAAAAGAATGCAAACTATCTCACGAACTTTTATGTTAATAACATGTCTGGCTGGTAATATTTTAGATCTTATAGATTAAATAAAGTATGTTATTTCACCTGTTTCACTCTTTGATGTGGCTGCTAGAAAATTTTAAATTATGTACGAAGCTTACATTTTATTTCTCTGAGCTGACAGCACTGCTTTAGAGCCAGAATGTCCAGGTTTATTGCCGGCTTTGGCGTTCGTGAGTTGTATGACCTGGGCAAGTCTGAACTTCGGTGCATTGGTTTCTTCAGCTATAAGATGAAAGTAACCATATCCATACCTCATAGTGTTGTCATGAGGAATAAATGAGTTAATACAAAATATTTATGACCACAACTGACATTATAGAAAGTGCTCAGTAAATGTTAGCTTCAAAAAAGTGGGACTTTTTTAAAAATCAGAATATAGTTTCTTCCATTCATTAAAATCAGTCCTTTTCATTTATTATAAACATTATACTGAGAATAAGTTTCTTACAAATAAAACCTTGTATTTATTTAAAGCTTTTCTACAAGTATGTCCTGCACCTTTTATGGGCATTGGCTCACTGTTTTTAAAATCTCCACCAAAAAGATCAGAGTAAATGTAAAAGCATTGTGAAAAAAGATAGTACATCGAAGAACACTGTCAAAGCACAAGGACAGTCCACAGAATGGGAGAAAATATTTGTAAATCATATATTTAGTAGAGGTATATGTTCAGAACATAAAGAACTTTTTTTTAAAGATTTTATTTATTTATTTGACAGAGAGAGACCGTGAGAGAGGGAACACAAGCAGGGGGAGTGGGAGAGGGAGAAGCGGGCTGCCTGCAGAGCAGAGAGCCCGATGCGGGGCTCGATCCCAGGACCCTGGGATCATGACCTGAGCCGAAGGCAGACGCTTAACGACTGAGCCACCCAGGTGCCCCATAAAGAACTCTTATAAAAATCAACAAAAAGACCAAAAAACAAAAAATGGACAAAGGACCTGAGTAGACATTTCTCCAGAGGAGATCTACAAATGGCCAACAAGCACATAAAACGATGCTCAATGTCATTAGTTATTAGGGACATGCAAATCAGGTCTCATTGGATACCAATCTCATTGGATACCATTTCATACTCACTAGGATGGCTGAAATTTTTTTAAAAAAGGAAAATAACAGGTGTTAGTAAGGATGTGAAAAAATTGGAATCCGTTGTTGGTGGGAATCATTAAAACAGTCCGGCCACTGTGGGAAATAGTCTTGCAGTTCCTCCACAAGTTAAACCTAGAATTCCACTTCTGGTAGATACCCAAAAGAATTGAGAACAGGTGTTCAGATAAAAATGTATACACACATGTTCGTAATTCACAACAGCCAAAAAGTGGAAACAGTCCAGATGTCTGTCAACAAACTGATACACAAAGTGTGGTATTTTACATATAGTGAGTGGAATATGAATCAGCCTTGAAGAGGAATGAAGTCCTGACACGTGGCACAACCTCGCTGAACCCTGAAACATTCTGCTAAGTGAAAGAAGCCAGACACGAGTGTCAGCCGTTTTGTAGGAGCATTTACATGAAAGGTCCAGGGTAGGCAAATCCACAGAGAGCAGGTTAGTGGTTGCCGAAGCTGAGAGGAGGACTGGAGAGGGACTGCTTAATGGGTGTGGAGCTGCCTTGTGAGGTGGTGATGTGGATGGTTTAGGAACCCGAGAGCAGTAATGGTTGTACAACGTGGTAAATACACGAAATGTCGACAGTGCTCGGTTTTATGTCAGGTGTATTTTACCACGGTGTACACACACACATCCCTGAACTGGAATTCATGTTTTGAGACCATTTAGAAGTCCCACAGAAAATCAGATATAAAGAGGCAAATCCATGTTACCTGATTTAGATAGCAATCTCTTAAGTACTCAGAAAATATGTTTTAAGTTTCTATTTATGAAAAAATGTTACAAAATACTTAAGGGAACTTAACCCAACTTGAGGGAAATTGTTTATGATGTCTATTTTTTATTTTTTTTTATGTTCAGGTAGCCAGCATATAGTACATTAGTTTTTGCTGTAGTGTTCAACGATTCATTCGTTGCATGTAACACCCAGTGCTCATCACCACACGTGCCCTCCTTAATGCCCATCAGCCAGTCACCCCATCCCCCACCCCCTCCCTTCTGTGACCACTCAGTTTGTTTCCCGGAGTCCAGAGTCTCTCGTGGTCTGTCTCCCTCTCTGATTTCTTCCTATTCATTTTTCCCTCCCTTCCCCTGTGGTCTTCCGCGCTATTCCTTATGTTCCACTGTGAATGAAACCATATGATAACTGACTTTCTCTGCTTGACTTAGTTCACTTAGCATAATGCCCTCCAGTTCCGTCTATGTTGATGCAAATGAGGGATATTCATCTTTTCTGATGGCTGAGTAATACATTGTATATATCAACGACATCTTCTTTATATGATGTATATTTTTTAAATCTTTAAATTCATAGTCATTAATAGGGACATAAAAAATAACATTTATTTAGCTTTATAGATTACTAAAAATTCCATACACATTTTCTCCTTGTCTTTACCACCTCTTTCAAGTGGGGGTTCTTATCCCCATTTTACAGATGAAACAGTTGAGAGAAGTCAGGGTGACCTGCACAAGATCACAGTTGGAACAGCCAGGTTAGAGCCCTCTGATTATAAACCCCATGTTTTCATAAGTAGAACTGTATGTATTTCAGACTGTAACCAGTGGGGGAGGTAACCACTTTACTGAGCTGTAACTTACCTACCACACAATTCACCCATTCAGAGTGTTTTTAGTATATTCAGAACTGTGCAGCCATCACCACATTGAACATCTTCTTCATCCCCAAAGAAAACCCATACCCATTAGCACTCATTCCCTTTACCTTGAAACCCCCCAGCCTTAGGCAGCCATTAGCCACTAATCTTCCATGTCTGCAGATTTGCCTGTCTGGAACATTTCATATAAATGGAATAACCTTTTTTTTAAACACACAGAAGACATTTTTTTGCTTTTACACACAGAATTTATAGCATATCATCAATAAATAGATAATACCACATTTAGAAAATAGAAATTTATATGTATATATGATAGCATATATACATACATATAAAAAAATAGTGTTTTTTCCCCGATACATCAGCCTGATTATCAGATGCTCCAAATGCCATTCAAGATACATCTAGAACACCTCCATAAATAGTACTCCCCCACACCCAGACTGACAGAATAGTTTTGTTAAAATCTGTTCACTACTCTCTCACACCCCGTATTTTAAAAAAAGGGAGGAGGGATGTATATGAAACACTTCAAAAGAAAACCCGTAGTCAGTAAATGTCTGTTGAGAAGCAGGCTGTACAGAATAGGATCCATGCATATTCTTTGTCAGCACCATGGGGAATTATAATGCTGCCTTTCTGGATAAGCACTGAAATGTGGAATTCTCGGGATGCCTGGATGGCTCAGTCGTTAAGCGTCTGCCTTCAGCTCAGGTCATGATCCCAGAGTCCTGGGATCGAGCCCCGCATCAGGCTCCCTGCTCTGTGGGAGTCTGCTTCTCCCTCTCCCACTCCCCCTGCTTGCGCTCACGCTGATAAATTTTTTAAAAATGTGAAATTCTCCATAATCTCCTTCCGTGAAGATACACACTGAGCTCTAACTACACAGGTTCAACAGAGGCAGGAACCATGGCACGTCCCCCCCTTTGGATAGTACCACGGAGTCATCACCTTGCCCTCAGCCAGGCCTTCTTGTTTTGTGTGATTTCATTCTGAACCTCTGCGGATGCTTCTAAGAATATAAGTTTATCCAGCATGTGTGATATAATGAATCTCTTAAAATTTCAGGTTGATAGATCCTCAGACTCAAGTAACAAGGGCCAATGTAAGTACCTGCATGCACACTGACTTTAGTAGTTATTCCTTAATTCAAAGTAGGCACTTTACCGATTTTGCCAAATTTAATGCCTGTCTTCTAATAGTGTACTTTTCCCATGATGTTTTCCATGGAGAATGACTTGTCTGATTTTGAATAACAGTTGTGTGATACTCAGTCTGTTCCTGTTATTTCCAGTTTGAACTCACCAGCATCACCCAGTTTGCTGCTCATCAAGAGAACAAGAGACTGGTTGGCTTCGTGGTCCGCACACCAGAATCCACAGGTGGAGAGGCTCTGAGCACATACGTTTTTGAAAGCAACTCAGAAGGCGAAAAGGTCTTATTTTTTTCATCTTAAGATTCCATAACCTCTCTGTCCAAACAGATACTTAAAGGGGTTTTTTGCACCATCCCCTGGATATTTAGTTGACTATTTTTTGTTTCCCCACTGAGGAGTTTAGAGAATACCTCTAGGAAGGCCCCACTGAAAGAAAACCAACTGGAATACAGTTTCTCTGTGGAAAATGCATGTCATCCTAAACAGAGTGATGAATAATGTTAATGGTGGGATACAGTTGTTTAGAAGAGGTATCAGGAAATGTTAAAAAAAAAAAAAAAAAGCAATTGCCTTCAAGTTTGTTCTTTTTTAAAAAACTAAAGCAAAAGTTACAATGGAGAAAATCTAGTCTCAGAGCAAACCAAGGAAGCAGACATCAGGAAATTCTTCTCATTTAGTATGAAAAATTTGTGACTGTATTTGCTACCTAGTATTAATCAAAATTAATCAACTCTTCTTTCAGCAAACACCTGTTTGCCACTGTGTGCATGAACATGTGGTAGCTGAGTGTGATTTAGAGAGAAAGGAATAAAGTATTCCATTAAGAATTTTAAGGACTGGAATAACTTCAATTGCTACTGAACCTGGACATTTTTGTTATGCACAAATTGGCAACAGGAGACCAAGACAGGTGGGCGCTAATGTTCAGAGCCCCATGTGATGAATCTCCTACAGCCAGGTCCCCTGTCCCCACACTGACGTGGGCAGTGACCTCACTGTACTTCCATAGTCACATTTCCCCCCCCCTAAAGTTCTTTATCCTTTTCTACCTTTGCCAAACACTACTTTTCTTGTCTTGCAGATATGTTATGCTATTAATTTGGGAAAAGAAATCATTGAAGTTCAGAAGGTAAGGTGCATTTTAGTGCTGGTTTTAACAACTGCTCCAAATCTCTATATATACTAAGATTTCTCTCAAAAAGAGCAAAGATGTTCACTAAGCAGTGTGGCCAAATTTGAGATTTCCTTTTAAGCATTCTAACCACCAGACTTGCTAGGTCCATGATCACTGGTAACACATGTGGAGTTCGTAAATTTCACTGCTACAGTCCTGCTTTATATTATCAATTTTTTGCTTGCTATTGTTGTCTAGATATTCTTTCTTTCAAATTGAGGTGGTAGAAACTTTAAGTACCTACTATGTGCTCAAAGGCCTTGCTGCTCAGAGCAGTCACAGACAGACCTCACCTGGAAATGTACTAGGTGTGAAGATTCCCATTCCTCCCAGTCTGTCATTCACCCAACAAATTTTTGAGAGCCAAGTTTGGACAAAAAAAACCTTGGAATTACAGCAGTGAGCAAGGGAGATCTGGTTCCTGCCTCAGGAGTCTTCTAGTTCAGCACTGTCCAGTAGAACTTCAATAATGGAAATGACCTATATCTGCACTGTTTAATATGCAGATTGAATGTAGCTAAGGTGACTGAGGAACAGGATTTTTAAATTTTAATTTAAGCAGTAACATACAGCTAGTGAGTACCATATGAGCAGTTCCAGTCTGTTGGGGGAAAGTAGGAAGGCCAAGGACCAAGACCAAAATACTTATGAAAGAGTAGCAAGCAGCGCAAGTGAGTATTTTATGGTTATAGATCAGGGGTTGACAAACTTTCTGTAAAGGGAAAGACAGTAAACCTTTTAAGCTTACATCTGTTGCAACTACTTAACTCAGCGACTGTAAAACAAAAGCAGCCATATACAGTATATAAATGAATGGCTGTGTTCCAATAAAACTTATAAAAACAAGCAGTGAGCCCAGATGACCGAGAGGGAAAGGAATTAAAGACCTAGAAGACAAAGGTATTGTAAAGGAAGTTCCTCTCTGGACTCTTTCTGGGAAGACAGTTGTTACGATTTGTGTGAACAGTATTTTGGCTGAGACCAAAACCTTGCTCTAGATTCTAGCAGTAATGCAATTGAGTTTTTTCGGAGAAGCAAGGAGACTCATCTGAAGGCACATACAGATAACAGAAGGAGTGAGACTAGATTACAGAACATCATGAATGCCAAGCCCAAAGGGGTTCTTAAGTGCATTTTAAGCGTTTTCTTTTCTCCTTCTTAAACTCCCCTAACTTCAGGATCCAGAAGCATTGGCTCAGTTAATGCTGTCCATACCACTAACCAATGATGGAAAATATGTACTGTTAAACGATCAACCAGATGACAATGATGGAAGTCCAAGTGAAAATAGAGGCGCAGAATCTGAAGCATAACTCTCTTGGGCCTTTGGGGGAAGAGCACCCAGGAAGGAGAGCTACCTCCTTAAGGGTTTTCAACTTCTCTGATATACAGGCCCATGACCTGGTTTCAGAATGCTGACAATCGCTTGTGGAATGTCCTCTGGATGCCTTGATACTGAGAGATGGGAGGGAAACAGTAAGAAATGGTTGACAACATTCCTACCCATCTACAAATGTTATTTTAGGTGCTTTGTGGTAAGTCTTTTTCTTAGATTGTATTGTTCAGCGCTCAGAATGAAAGTTGAAGAAAAAATGCATTGTTCACTTTATTCAAATGTCATCTCTTCAGTTTCCAATATCCTTTTTTAAAAACGGTAAAAACCTAGATTTATAATTTGATAAACACTAAATATTTCCTATTAATATAATCTATTTTTGTATTTTACTTCATGAGCTTTAAGTGCCTGTCACTCTGAAAACTGTGTATTTATAATCAAGCTTGTCTCACAATTGGACTTAATAGCATTAATTTGTGCAGTTAGGTGACAAGCCCTGCTTAGAGGCCGGAGCACTAGCAAAAATGCAGTTTTGAGGGTGCCTGGGTGGCTCAGTTGGTTAAGCGACTGCCTTCGGCTCAGGTCATGATCCTGGAGTCCCGGGATCGAGTCCCACGTCGGGCTGGCTCCCTGTACATCAGGGAGTCTGCCTCTCTCTCTGACCCTCCCCCCTCTCATGCTCTCCCTCTCTATCTCATTCTCTCTCAAATAAATAAAATCTTTAAAAAAAAAAAAATTTTAAAAAAATGCAGTTTTGATCATTTTTCCAGACATATAATAAAAAGACTAGCAGATGAGTACCAACAAAAGATGTTCAATTTTACATTGGAACCTTAATGAACCAGCATTCAGAAGTTTATGGTCCTTTAGATATTTTTAGTGGTGGATCACCATGGACAGGGTGAAGCTCTACCAACTCCTGATTCTTCTGAGCCAGACCCTCCTCCTTAAGGAATGGACCAGTTAATTTTAAAACTCACTTGAACAAGCACAGCTGGTTGTGGGGCTTGGTACAAAGTTCCTATTTCCACCCCTACCTATTAAAATAAGTATAATGATCTTGAATTGGCACAGTGTGTTTAATTATAACCAAGTTCAACAGAATATCATTGTCTTTGTAATAAATTAACCTAGCAATAAATGCTAGCAAATAAAAACTATCATTCTGTTTCTTTCTTTTGCTTTTTATGGTTATTTTCTAGAACATCCTTGGAAGAAAACTAAAGTCAGTTCTATAGCTTCAATGTTAATTTCCAAAAAACTAGGGCATAATGAAATCACAGCAGAGAGGGATGTACCATCAAATACTTCTACTCAACATAGATGGAATAATGTGATCTCAGTGCCAAGTTGTTAAAAGGTATTGCTTTTAAAATGGTGGATTAATAGAACAATTTCTGTAATCCAGAATTGTTACAGGGTCATCAGGAATCCACTTCCATAGCGTGTGTACCATTAGAGACAAAGTGAACTGATCTAAGCCAGCAGGAGATATACCATGAAATTATTAGTTCAGTGTTAACGAATGCCTTACAAAAGTTGTATATCGTAACCACATTAAATCAGTAAGTTCTCTGATAGGTGGCAAGAGCCACAATCCCCTGAATTCTTTTCTTGCTTAGCACTGTTCAGGGTGGGAGAGAAGAATCTAGTCATGAACAATATTGTTAGAAACTAATAAAACTTTAAAAAACTTTGTGGCAAAGCATGCAAATCATAAGAAAAAAAAAAAAAGACTGAAATCCAGTACATTAAAACGAACATCAAAAAACCATAGAGGGGGGAAAAAAACACACCACAGAGAATGAAAACACAAAATTAACGGAGCATATTAAGCAAGCACAAATGACCAACAAAAAATCAGTACCCAGAATATATAAAATACATTAAAAACAAAACAGAAAAAGTCATAAAAGCATTTCATAGAATAAAAAATAAAAAGGGTTTTGAAATGGAAATATGTTCAATTTCCTGTAATAATCAAGGAAATGCAAAGTAAAACCACTGCAATATTACATATTCACCAGACCGGTAGAAATGTGGCTGTTGGTGGGGATGGAGTGATGGGAAGCCTCCTCCACTGCTGGGGTGGGAGAAGCCTGGCATTGTATCCATTGCTCTTGTACTTGGCCCTGCTACGTAGCAGATTCACTTGTGGGTACAACCGTGGAAAAACTCTTAACACATATACCCAGAGACATGTACAGTAACAGTTACAGTAGCCCTGTTCACAGTATCCCAAATCTGGAAAATGACCCACATGTCATTAACTGAATACTAGAGAAGTAAAACTAAATGAACTATAGCTATAATGCATCAACATGGATGGATTTCAGAAACAATACTGCAAGTCTTATAAGCTACATAGTAAGAATCCATTTATATTAACTGTAAAAAACAAACCAACCACCACGTTATTTAGAAAAAATACAGATAGGTTATGACACTAGAGAAAAGCAAGGAATAGTTACCACCAAAATTCTGCATTGTGGTTTCCTCTGGATGGAAAAGGGAGCCGAGATCTGAGGAGGAACAATGGGAGCATCTGAGGCGGGAGCAACAGGTTTTGAACCTACATGGTGGCTACTGAAGTGTTCCATTTTTATTCTCCATATATTATATACTCTTTTGCATATGTTATGTATTTTTAAATAATTTTAAAATTTAGAAACAGTAGATAACTTGCCCTTTCTTCAAATTTACCAAATGAACACACTATGAAAAATTAACAAGTGTCATGTAAATGAAAGGTGGAAAAATGGGACCCTTTTTCTTAGCCAGCTATTCGCACCAATTTTCATTTCCCAGCATTGCGTCTGGTTGGTTAGCCACCTGTCAGACTACCCTTTTTTAAGAAGTGCAAGACTTCCCTTCCATTGGCTACACTTAGCTAGCCATTTAAAAAGGAATAGTTTTTATGAGACCCACTCAGAGTCACATACTGTTTATCCTCAAACTTTTCCACCTAAAAGAGTAAAAGTAAAAATACTAAAGCTAACAGCTGTATGCCAAGTGCATTTCTGCCTATGAATAATCATAATAGCTAGCTAGTATTTATAGCAGTTACTGTTTCCTAACCTATAAAGTGCTTTACACAAATTAACTCAATCCTCAATCTGTGAGTTCTATACTATTAGGTCATTTTATGCCCGAGAAAATGAAGCACAGAGAGGCTAAGAACCTGCTGTTAGGCGCCAAATCAGGATTCGAATCAGTCTGGCTCCAAAGCCTATGTTTCTTACTGCTCTGTGACAAACCAGAGACCGCAATTAGCAAACACTTTTCTCATCAGTACTTATTAGTACGTAAACTTTTGAAGATTATTCTGATATTCAGTAATTATATCAATTTAAAGTTAACATCTCTAATGCCTTGTTAACCTTTTGTGCCAATTCTGAAATGATTAAATACTATAAAGTCAATATAGATAGGTTTCTAGATACAAATATGTTAACTTTCCCCCTCACTTTAATGATAATGAGGCATTACTAAAGAATGTTTCACTACACAAAGACCTTACATACACTAGATAATGTATAGCCTTTAAAGATGATCCCAGAATTATGACATCAGATCTACACTGATCAGAAGATAAATTTCAACTCCTTTGCTGAGTGTGACTCCACTAATGGGAACAACTGGACTGTCAGGTAAACCGCGTTTAATAGTAAAGACAGGCAAACAGAGTATCCATATATTTGCCCAAATTGACTTTGTATACACTATACATAAGAACTTTTTTGTATAAATTAAGCACTAACTTTGCCATCACCTTCTCTGAGTTCACTGCCTGATGTTCATTTAATCTCTAGAGATGTGCACTTATTCTGGATCCTTTTTTTTTTTTTTTTTTAATCTGAAATCTCTAATAACCTGTTAAAGTCTTCCTAACATCTAAAAACTTGAAATTGTAGGGTTAAAACTTTCTTAAAAGGAATACCATCAGTATGAAACTTCAAACTTCAGCTGGAAAAAAAATAAAATTATTAAAATTAGTTAAAATCTTTTTACATTTAGCCATCAAAAAGTAACAGGATAATGTATGTGATGGTATTATCCCACCTTTCCCCCAATCTTACAAATTTACTACCTCAGAAGAGCAAAGGAGCAGCAACCAGACTTTACCAAGAACAATTTCTCCAGGGTATTACAGCTGATCCTTGAACAACACGGAGGTGAGGGGCACCAAGCCCTCATGCAATCAAGTACCTGTATGTAACTTTTGACTCCCCAAAAACTTAACTAAGAGCCTACTGTTGACTGGAAGCCTTACAATGAACACATTATATATGTTATTTGTATTATATACTATGTTCTCACAATAAAGCTAGAGAAAAATGCTATTAAAATCGTAAGGAAGAGAATATACATTTATCATACTATACTGTATTTATTTTTGAAAATTGCATGTACGTGGACCCACACAGTTTAAACCCATACTGTTCAGGGGTCAACTGTATTTAAAAGGCTCTCATTTATTATTACCATTTCAGTTCAACTCATGTTTGTAAATGGCAATAGTTTTTCTAACATTAAACACTGTAAACCAAGGATCCCTTCCCAGGATTAGGATTCAAAATAAAAATTCATGTGGGTTCTTTTTATTTGAAAATAGCAAGCAATGGAAAGATCAAGAATGTACAAAGGAAAGTATGAGTTCTTCACCTGGGATATATAGAGAGGAACCAATACCAATTTTATACTTGAAATTTCTGCCTATGTGCATGCAAGGATTTTTTTTAAAGATAGATTCCCTATATTTTATTAGAGGGAACTCCAAAAAGGTTAATGTTAAGAAGTACTGGTTTAAGACATTCAATTTTGAACATAAACATCCAGGGGAAGTAAATTATTAAAACTGTATTTATTAATGTTTTATTATACATATATTTTCTTAGAATTGGGGGAGCCCCACATTCAAGTGAAGTAATAAACTTGCCATCCTTTACAAAACTTAATTAGAACTGACAAAGTTATGGTTAGTCCTTAATTCCTGAGAATTTGAACATTATTGAATTTTTTTGTGAATTTACAACAAATGCTCACACTAATTTTAAATTACAGTATGTCTGAAAACAATATGTAACAATATGTTAGCAAAGAAAACCATCATCTAAATGTGTGTATTAAATGGTGTGAAACACTCAAGCCCTACTGCTCTGCACTTTAATAGCATTTAAGTATGCTTAATCTTTTCAGAGATTTTATTTCAAATATGTGTAACTTATCCAGACTGCAGTGACATTATTTTGAACTAATGGCAAAATAATAATCACTCTCTTCTCAATGTACATATCCATGGAGTCAGCATATGAACTCTACACAGTATTCACAAAATCGATAATAACTGATATGTGGGGATAATGAACAGAGACACTGGATTCTCTTCCAATGACAATTTCTATCCATATTAAAGGAGATTGTTTTAGGGAAGTCAGAGGAAAAAAACAGAACAATATTGTTGCTATGAAATGGTGACGAATTTGATGCAATCAAAGCAAAATCATTAATATAACATTTATAATAATGAAAATATAAATTACTAATTATGCAGCATGCTTTAGGGCCATTTCTACAGTTAGTATGAATTACAAATATTAAATGCCTTTAATCCATCCATTGTACAGAATTCTGTAAGTCATGTTTACATAATAAACAAAAACCATTTTCTACCTATTCTGTTTCTTCTGACTGAACAGTGAAGTGTTTATCTTGGGCTGGGAAAGTTACCCTGCCAGTAACCAATGAATATAGATAGGGCATTGTACACCTGTTCCAAAAGCTGGAAATCAAACAACGTTAGAATTCCTTGCAGGATATACCCAAAGAAATGCTTAATAGGCAAGTGCAATGGAAAAATCAAGTATTTCCCAAATGATGTATTACGTGTACAGTTTTAAACTTTGTTTTCTTTGTAAAAGTATCACTGTATCATATTAAAAGATTATATATAGGTCATGATTAACCATTTAATTATTAACTGACATAATCTTTACAAAAATAAAGCTAGTAGCCTGCCAGGAACTAAATTTACTCAAAATCTTACTGTACTTTTTAAATCAGTAAATGATTTAAGTTATTAGAACTTTATTGTCACAGTGGTAATTTTTAAAAAGCCTGCACAGTGCTTAATCTGATGTCTTAGATTATACTTGGTTTAAAGAAAAAGTCTGCCCAAACTATCACCAAGATTTCAATTCAACCTAATGTAGAAGAAACCTGAGTTTGGATGTGAAAATAAAAATCCATATAATTTTCTCTGATATCATACGTAGTGCCTTCAACCAAAAGTGAAGCTTCAAGCAGGACTCTTATGGCTTTCTCTGAATTTTCTTTCATCTTGAGTATTAAGTAAATCTTAAAGCAGTTGTTGGAGGTTACATGTTTTCAAAGCAATGTAAACTAGTTATAAAATGTCTTACCAAAGACATTAACAGCTCTCGTGAGTCACATGAAAGTAACAGTGAATCAGTTTTACACTGTACATTAAAGGTACGTAACATACTTGTGCCTCACCTCTACTATCAAAACCATCTTTACATATTCCTGTTATAAGAATATTGATATGTATGCTTCATGAATTTCAGGTTTCATTCATTTTGTTTAAACATGTATTTGCTGGCTGTACATAGCATATGCACTGAATTTCCAATGACTGAGACAAAAATGGATCCAAGACCTATGCAAATACAAATGAAAAACCCTCACGCAGGTTACAAGAGCTCTGAGGCAGCAGTTTAGGAATCCGGAGTGGCCCTTCCACGGCTTCACTTCACATGACTCTCCACAGGCACATCTGCTAGCCTAAAGTCCAGGCAAAAATCCAATTTAAAACCTCATTCTCAACCTTTGAAAAGTAGAGCCTTTGGAAGAAGAACAGACTTAACTTTAGAGCACTGCTTTACAGAGTTGCAACATCCACCGATTACCAGAGATGTGGCCCAGGACCCACTTCATCATTAGCTCATTAACCTCATTTCACCAGCAACAGTCCTGACACAATCCTGATTATCTCAGAGGGGCAACACATACCATCAATATCATTTGACCACAGGATCTGCAGACACAGTGCTGTCGGACAGGTCTCCATTGCTTGTTTTTGTCTCTTCTGGAAGCATGGATGAAAATAACAATGGACAGATATATGTTCATTTTTTAAAAATGAATTAAGTAAAAATTGAGAAGGACTGAATTACTAAATTGCAAATTAAGAAAATGGGCTTCTACCAAATAGTTCCCTAACAGTAGTTCCCTAAAGTATATCGAGTGTATTTACCTTAATTTTTTAGAAATCTAAGCTGACGGGGCGCCTGGGTGGCTCAGTCGTTAAGCGTCTGCCTTCGGCTCAGGTCATGATCCCAGGGTCCTGGGATCAAGCCCCGCATTGGGCTCCCTGCTCAGCAGGAAGCCTGCTTCTCCCTCTCCCACTCCGCCCCTGCTTGTGTTCCCTCTCTCGCTGTGTCTGTCAAATAAATAAATAAAATCTTAAAAAAAAAAAAAAAAGAAATCTAAGCTAACTATTGCAAATGTAATGTTCTGGCCGGTACTTACTAGGGGTGTCGAATTGTGAGAAATGAGAACTGCATCTGGGGGGCTGGGGGGAGTCTCGCTGGCACGTTTGAAGGCACGCTTCCTCTCGGCTGGTCTCCCAGCCAGGCCAACAAACCACTATTAGAGTGCACTGCTGTCACTGATAGAAACACTGCTGCAAATGCACATGTAAAACTGTCCAGAATACATAACTTCCCATTTGTGTTTATGATTTATTTTTTAAAGCAGCTTTTTACTGTGATTGTGATAAAATGAATTCCTGTTTTTTCATGCAAAATGTCACATGCACATGTTTCATTAATGGAGGAAAACGATCTCATGTCTCCTGCAACTCCGACTACACATCTGAGCAACGCTGAACTAAGACAGAGCCCTAAAACAGAAGAACCTGGGCATGTGGGCACTACGCATCAGCCAGAATCACAGTTAGTTAAGAACAGTCCAAAGCAAGGAGTTCCACTGAGACAGAAAGGTTCATCTGTTTTGCCTTAATGCTTTAGGCCTTAAAGTAAATATCTAATCCACCTACAGAGTCTTCCCAGTAAGCTCCGCTGGAGACAAGCTTCTGGCAGGAAACGCCTGAGCAGAACCTAAGCAATAACTGAATTTCCTCATAATTTAGATCAACCTCACTCAAATTCTTCCAATCTACCTTAGCCTTGGAAAAAGACCCAAACAGAATATATACATATTTTCATGTAATAAATACTGAACATCTTCCAGGTAATAGCCTGAAATCACTTTCAAGCACATAATTATTACTTAGTCTAGATTCCAAAAATGCCTGCATATCCTAATTATTAACATAGTATTTAATTTATGCAACATTATCTGGGAACAGATACTTGATATAAGTGGTCTACCCAAAAGAATCCCCTCTATTCAGTGTAAAAAATATATATATTTTAAAATTTAACAAAATAAGATTAACAAAATCATCTTATTTTATGAAATACAAGTTTTACACCTTGATTTGTGAAATACAAGTAAGAAACAGGAAAAAGGGCAAACGTAAAAACTCAACTCAGTTGCTGTATCTAGTTTTGAGCTTCCGAGCAAAAAGGAAAACTAAGTTACATAATTTCTGTAACAGAAAAGAGGAAACATCCATTCTTCAGGGAAGACAACTGTTCCTAAATTTTAAATCTGACAGAAACGTATCATAGGAGTCCTTAAGTATGAAATAAGCAATTTACACCATCCTACAAAGAATACAATGGACAGAATCCTTCCCGTAATGACTCAAGTTCACGGATATGACAATCAGTTATCAGGGCTACACTGCGCTCTGACTCTGGTTATGCTGGAGAGCAGGAGGCCTTTACCCACGACACTACACAGAGCCCCTACTGTTTTACTACCTCCTCAGTCCCCTGTCCTATCTCATTCAGTCTGTGTCTAGTTATCAGCAGCTCTGCCTTCAGAAAACATTTAGGGTTCCTCCTAATCTGTTCCTTCTTCTCAGACACAAGTTGAAGGGTGAAAGAAAAAACGTGTTAAATTTTATTTAAGAAAAGATGAAACTGAATAAAAAGTTACCCCAGACGGAAATGTAAAAACTATATACATTTCTGTTCGGTTTCACAAATGATCCATGTAGGCTGTACTTTTTTTTTTTAAAGGCATTTCTAGGTCTAAATTATTTTCCAAAAGGAAAAGGAAGCTAGAATTCTGACCGGATAAAATGGGGCATTAGCGGCTACTACTAAAGATTTATTGGTCTTTCCAAATTTAAGCCACTCACTGACCTTTCTCTTTCTTTTCTTGGTTTTCTTCAGCCGCAGTCTTGTCTGCTCTGAAGAAAATTCTTGCACTGCTCAGTGAGAAATAGAGCAATTCAAATTCCTAAGTAAATAAAAAAATGTAAAATAAAAGCTGAAAATATTTATTATAGCAAAATATTAAAATTATTATAGATCTATAACTTCTAAAAAGCTCTACTGTAAATCATAAATACAGAAACTGAACTAGGGGCACCTGGTTCTCTCTTAGAGAGAACATGGATGGAAGGTTTCAGAAAAACCTCCACTGCTAAGCAGCTGTCTTCAGCTCAGGTCATGGTCTCCAGGTCTGGGATGGAGCCCTGGGTTGGGTCAGGTTGGGACGGGCTCCTTGCTCAGCCAGGGAGTCTGTTTCCTCCCTCTCCCCCTGCCCTACACCCTGCTCGTGCTCTAATAAATAAAATCTTAAAAAAAAAAAAAAAAAAAAATGAAGTAATCCCATCCATTTTTAATATGGAATCAAATGGCTTCCAAATGCCATTCTTTTAAAATACACTTATTACCACTATTCGTTTCACTTGTTTAAAAGGGGGTTTCCATAGGATTTGTTTTTTCAGATATCAAGCAGATTTGACTATTATTCTCCTCTACCTGTAGACAGACATCCAAGCGCTTCTGAGTGAGATTCATGGTTTGTAGCAGTTTTTCATCTTGACTAGCTGACTGTACATTCTGTTGCTTAGCAACTGCTCTTATCTCCTTCAGGTACTTCTCTCTAACAGACTGGAACCAGTGAAGTGAGTCAAATTCCTGGTACTGATCCAAAAGCTTCAAAATGTAAGCCACACCTGCGGTCATTAGCAAAACCAAAGCTAAATGACAAAGACTACAGAAGTTGTATTCTACTCCTTTAAAAAAAGATACAAAAGTATAAAGAACTAAAAATAAACCAGTCAAGAAAAAAAGAAACAACAAGGCTATGAAAATCACTTAGCGAGAACATGGATGGAAGGTTGCGGAAAAACCTCCACTGCTAAATAGCCAGCAACTGAGGAAGCTGCAGGGAAACTCTACACAAGATGCTAAAACTCTAAAACCACCACCACAACAAAGTCTAAATATGAGGTCCAACGAGAATAAGTGATTAGCAATACCAAGGGGGCATGAATGATAGTTATAAAATGATGGAAAACAAGTACTACTAATCAGATGACCTAGTTAAAAAATAAGAGTAACACTGCTCAGGAAAAAACGAATCTACAAAGAGCACACAGACCTATTAAGCAAATGTTTCTAAAAATCCATTATAATAGGCAAACATAAAACTAATGGAAAAACAATTCCATTAAGCTTACCCATGGCAAAGCCATCATCAGTAAAAGCAGCTCCAATTTTATTTTTTTTATTCAATTTCTCCTTGCAGCTAATGGAATGCTCTACAAAGTTGAGGGTCTAAAAAGATATAACATATTAGAGAAACAACTGTGCTAAAATATCTTCAGAATTTAGTTCCTAAAACAGACATTTCAAAAATTATAAATAGGATCTCTTCTAGGTTCCTGTCCTTTTGATTTGAGACATCTTCCTCATATAAATAGCCTCCTGGTGAGATCACAATCTGTACCAGTATCTTTTAATGGCTCTTCTTTCCGAATCCTTTAACAATGAGCACTCTCTCCATCACCGATCACCACTTACCCCAAGCACAGTGCCTTGTATATGGTTCCTCATAAAATATTATGTACATTTTACAGATGAGGACACTGAGGCTTGAGAGGCTAAGTAACTTGCCCAAAGCCATACTCTAAGTGAAAGCTGGAGTCAGAAAAGTAGGTATGCTTTGTTTACTTCAAAGCGTTAAGTGCTCTTATGGGTGGTAATCCTTGCTTCTGCCCACCCACTTCATCCTAAAACACTATTTCTTACCATATTCTTGGTTAAAATGAATTAGTAGTTATTTGGATAAATGAATTCCTCCAAAAACTGCTTCCCTAAAAATTCAGCTCCTACAAAATACCTTATCAACAAAGATTTACTAAAGATTACTATATACCAGGCATTAATTAACGATAAAAAAAAGGAATACCATCAAAGAGTACACACTCTAGAGCAGCCCTCTCAGCAAAGACAGAAATACTGTGTATCCTACTGTCCAGTACAGTAAGCCCCTGGCCATATATGGCCACTGAGCACTTGAAATGTGGCTAGCAAAACAGAGGAACTAGATTTGTTATTTTATAAAATTTGAATTAATTTAAATTTAAGTAGCCACTTATGGCTATATATGGATAGCACAGCTCTAGAGGGGTAAAGAGAGACATGTTTAGGAATAATTGTGATACACCATGGAAGGTACTATAATAGCTGATGCTGGAAACAAAAACACCAAGTTTCACTTTTTTTGCCTGTAAAACTCACTGGGCAATTAATCACAGATTTGTGAAATCTCTACCAACTATTATTTAAATCTTTTTTTTAGATAGCTCATTTATGTTTGTCTTTTTTCTGGAATTAGATGATAAACTCAAGCACAAGAAGAGTGTCCTACACTTCCCTGTAGTGCTACCCATCCACCCATCACTAACTGAATTCGGACAGCTGCCCTGCAAAACTCTACTCTCCCGTAAACTCACAATTTGTTATTTACTGTGGCTTCAATATACTGTCCTTCAAATTAAAAAAATATGATGAGGTCACCCTAAGTTAACTACACTGTTACCCAAGTATAACTAAGACAGATTTGCTTCCAGTCTGACACTATTTTAGGATGAAAAGATAATGCTTGCTACATCACAGTTACAACATATAATTATGATAAAGCATTAACAATTATGATGGAGCATTAACAATAAACATATTAAAAACAGTAGAAAAGAACATTTACAAAGAAAAAAGCTGTCCACACACCATCCTCTACTTCCAAAGGATAACCATGGTAATAATATGTAAGGAGATACGTTAACAAATCAGGCAGCAATATGAAAATTTATTACTCTTTATCAAAGTTAGATGTAATCAAAAGCCCCATTTGTCTAGTGATATTTAGATGTTAGAGCTACCCATTTACAATTTTTTTTTAAAAAACAGTATTATTATAGAAATCTTTAGGGCAACGTAACTCTTACTGCTAGTATGCCACTCTCTCTCTTAACTCCGTTTTCCCCACTCCAACTGTCTGTATGATGTGATTTGGAGTAACTTGAGCTCTATTTGGATGACAACTATACAGAACTGGAGCAGGACACACGATATATACTATAAGGAAGCACTTAAAATTTAATCTAGATGTTAGTATTTACTACTGTATAGAGAGAAGTTGTCCTTAAACAGTAATACTTTTAAGAGACGTGTGAGAAATAACTTCATATTGTAACAGAAGTTAGTCTACATTAATCACTTAAAATGATTATATGGTATAATCAGCCCAAAGATTATATGGTGTATATATAATGGAGTACACTCAATTTAAATAACACTAGATTTTTCTAGCAGTTACTAACAAATAAAAATCCATCTCAACTGTAAAATAAGTTTCATTCTGCATAGCTAGTTAAGTAGAATTCCTAGGCCACCTTCCCTGAAATCACATTTAGCTTTTCTACAACCAGAAAGTAATATAGTCTACTATGTGCATTTCCTGCTACAAAGAAACTGGATCTATTTACTAACTTTTTAAAAAAAATTCACTTTGGGTACTAAAAATACTCACCAGAGGGGGAACAATGATATAGAAATTTCGAAGATGTATATTCTTTGGCCTTCGAAATTCTGGAGCAAAAACATCTACAAGCATTTTGAAATACTCCGTGCCTTCAGCAGAATTTCGTGTGTGATCACTGAGGACTGAATCCAAATGCCTAAAATACAAAACATTATTTACCTGGTTCCTTTCTCAGAAGAAGGTATGGCTATCTCATCTATCTAATTTATCTATCTATTTGAGAGAGACACAGAGTGTGTGCACGCATGCCACGCGTGGGCGAGGGTGGGGAGATGGGAGGTGGGGCAGAGGGATAGAGAGAATCTTAAGCAGGCTCCACGCCCAGCATGGAGCTTGACATATGGGGCTCAATCTCATAACCCTGAGATCATGACCTGAGCCGAAATCAAGAGTCAGACCAACTGAGCCACCCAGACACCCCAAGCCTCCCAATTCTTGATTTCAGCTCAGGTCATGATCTCAGGGTTATGAGATCGAGCTCCACCTCAGGCTCCATGGTCAGCAGGGAGTCTGCTTGAGATTCTCTTCCTCTCCCTCTGCTCTCCCCGCCACTCTGCAAAATAAATAAATCTTAAAAAAAAAAAAAAAAGTCACACATTTAACCGACTGAGCCACCCAGGCACCCCAAGAAGATATGGCTTTTTAAATCCATCTCTTATCACCTTAGATGAGAGTACTCAAAAGTATAAAACATTGTAAGACATTTCTAAGTCAATTTCCTTGGAGTTCAGAATGAACTCATTTCCATATGAAAAAAAAAGCTGATCACTATTGCTTAATTAACTTAGTCCCTAATATAAAATATGTAGAGCATCTTAGAACTTAAGTTTTGTATTTCTTCTGCCCACAATAAGTCCTGTAGAATTCCATTACATTGTATTTTTTTTTTTTTAAGATTTTTTTTATTTGACAGAGAGAGAGAGACAGCGAGAGAGGGAACACAAGCAGGGGGAGTGGGAGAGGGAGAAGCAGGCCTCCCGCCGAGCAGGGAGCCCGATGCGGGGCTCGATCCCAGGACCCTGGGATCATGACCTGAGCCGAAGGCAGATGCTTAACGACTGAGCCACCCAGGCGCCCCTCCATTACATTGTAAATAAATTCCTCTTCATTTTAACTGTCTTCACTAATGCTTCTTCTGTACCTCCCTACCTCAACTGAAATCTGGCTCCTTTTCAAGAACTTAGCTTCCCACTTAACGTTCAGAAACATAAGCTGCTTTTTCTCCTTCATCCATCATTTATACCTACCACCACTTTCAAATTATTCCCCCACCACTAAAAGGTAGGAATCTCTCCTTTGAGACTCACGTGATCCCACTATATCCACTACCTAACTACTCCTTCCTGAAAGCAGTTTTCCTTTTAAACCACTGCCCTACCTTTATTTATCTCAGACTATAATATGTATTTTCGCTATCATTCTGGAAGACTTCATTGCTCATTTAGATAATCAATTCATTATCATAATTCTACAACTTCTTGACTTCACCTGCCATGAACTTTCCTTCACTTGATGTCAGTCATCCACTCCTTTGCATGGATCTGGACCTTGCTATTAGCAGACAGCTTTACCCTAGGGATCTTAAAAGACAATTACCCCACCTCTCTGACCTCCTGGAACTGCTTCAAAAATATTTTTTAAATGTCATCAATTTTTAAATGAATGACATCATTTAATAAGAATAACAGTCTGATTTTCTTCTTTGACATACAAGCCACAAACTAATCATTTCAGGGCACAGGACTTTAAATATATTATTAACTACATGGCTTCTTTAATTTGGCAAAAAACTAAGCTACCTAATAGACTATTGCAAAGCAAATCTTGTGTTGGGGCCTTATTCTCATAAATATGCACACACATTTTCCATTTCTTTTCATTTAAAAAAAATTTTAAGCCTACTGAAAAGTTAAAATATAGTGTACTGGACACCTATTTACCCCTCACCTAGATTCACCATTTAACATCTGCCACATTTGTTTTCTTTTTCCCAAAACATTTCAAGTTGGCAGATTCCATGTCACTTAGCCCACAAATGCTTTAATATGAATCTGTTAAGAACCAAGACATTTTCTTACAAAGCCACAATATATCATTACACCCCAAAATAAAATACAGTATTATCTAATGTACATAAACTCTGATTTCCTCAATTATCCCCCAAATGTTTTTTTTTTTCCTCATCAAAGATAAATTAAGGATTACCTACTGCATTTGGTCATCAGATCTCTTCAGTTTCCTAATCTAGAAGAGCTCCTTGCCTTTTTTGTCCTTTATGACATGTGACATTTTTTAAGAGTCTAGGCCAGGTGTTTCATAGAATGCCCCACACTCTGAATGTCTCAGATGGTTTCCACATAATAAATTCAGAGTAAATCTTTCTGGCAAGAACACAACATGGGTATTTGCCATTACACTGCATCAGGAGGCCCCATAATATCAGTGTGTCCTGTTAACTGGTGATGCTATGCTTGATCGTTTGGCGGAATACATCAATCTCTCTAAAGATAGTTCCCTTTTGTGGTTATTAAGCAATTTGTGGGATAATCTTCTGATAGTGAATGAATACTCTGTTCTTCAAAACTGTTTTACTGATGATTTTTGTCTGGTTTCAAGCATTAGAGTGGTGGTTGCAAAACAGTGATTTCTCCCTAGATTTTCTCATCCATTCTGTATCGATTAGCTGGCATTCTTCTGTAAAGAAGGAACTTTCCCTCTGCTCCTTTCTTACCATCACTGGGGCTCCTAAGTTCTTTATTCAATGTGTTATAATCAATTTCTACCATTATTAGTTTATTAATTTGAGAAAGAGAGAACAAGAGAGCATGCAAGAGCACAAGTGGCGGAGGGGCAGAGGGAGAGAGAGAATCTTTATTTTTTTAAAGATTTTATTTATTTATTTGACAGACAGAGACACAGCGAGAGAGGGAACACAAGCAGGGGGAGTGGGAGAGGGAGAAGCAGGCTTCCCATGGAGCAGGGAGCCTGACGCGGGGCTCGATCCCAGGACCCTGGGATCATGACCTGAGCAGAAGGCAGCCACTTAACCGACTCAGCCACCCAGGCGCCCCTCTAATCTTCCCTTTAAGATGATTTTATTATAAACATATACTTTTTAAGTCTCCAAATTTAGATTATTTCAAAATTAGATTACCTTGCTGCTTTTAATGTTTCTTCTGCAAGACCTTCTTCTTTTACTAGTTCTTCAAAATTTACAATATCTTCAAGATCAGGCACAAATCTAAGAATTGGGAAATAATTTTATTAAATATGCACAACTGACATAGATATGAAAGTGGTATTGTAAGGCTAAATTTTTCAACTATATATTTGGAAAGAACTTGGCATTTCAGTTCTATTATTAATATAACCAATTAAATTCTAAAATTGTCTTTTAGATATGAATAATCAAATTCTAATCCTTAAAGTCATGTAATCTTTAGAACCATTCAAACTGTACTGATAGGTTAACTATAACTTTAAGAGAAATAAAGATTTTCAGAGATCTGCTACAGTGTTAAAATTCAAGAAAAAAAATTTAACCAGTAGAATTAATGGTTTTCTTCCATATTTTATCTCAAAATATAGCAATAAGAAAACACTTGTCTACAATATCAACTACAATAAAGATAAATTTAAATGACATAAAATTCTTAAATGGCATAAGCAAGGCAAAAACGATGTTCGCACCCATACCTGATGGCGTTGCTGCTACAGTGGAGGCCACCAGATCTTATCATCCGTATATAGCCCATAGCGTTACCTTAAAAATGACACACACACACACATCAGATATTTATAGAAATAATTCTAAACTCTAACAGTCAGGAATACAGTCACATATAGCAGTCAATTACCAGGTTTCACCACTCTTAAGTACCAAAGGATTCTTTTCTGCTTTACTTTAGTTCTTGCTCCATAAAAGTAAAACTTACATATTAGTGTGCCTAAAATATAAATATATATACTTATACACAGCTGTATCAAAAAATAAATGTGACTGACATTTGATAAACAATTTCATTAAATGACTACATTTTTAAAAAACATAGTCAATAATTTCTTCATTATCACATCGAGTGCCTCCCTCTCTCTTTCCTCCCCTCGCCACCTGCACACATGCAATTGGAAATGATATCAAGAAATCTTTACTTGACGCCTCCAAATTATACCTCCAGCCTGGATTACTCTTCCCGGTTTTTTAATCCAATGCCTATGCCTTCATGACTAAGAAAAAATTTTAATTTAATATGTTCAAGTCAAACTCAAGACCTTCACCCTGTTATATTTCCTATCTCAAAGAAACTGACATTTCCATCCTTTCAACTGCTCAGGCAAAATGTCTTCAAGTCATCCCTGACTCCTTGCTTTCTTTCATACTTAACATCTAATCAATGGGCAAATTATACTAGCTCTACCTTCAGAATGTAGCCAGAATCCCACCACTTTTCATGTTCACAGCTATGACCCTATACCAAACCAATACATCTCTTGCCTATACCTCTGCAATATGTAAAGACCTCCTGATTGCCCTCCTTCCACCTTCAGCATCCTGCCTCCCAATCTTGTATCTACATAGCAGCAGTGCTGATGGTTCTTTTCAAACTAAGTTGGAACATATCCTTTCCTTTTCTGAAAACTCTACAATGGCTTTCCATCTCAATAAGATCCAAATCTCTTATGTGGTCAACAAAGCCCTGTGTGATCTTGCCCCTTGCTACTGTTCTGATATCCTGCCCCACCACTCAGGACTTTACTAACTCCTCCATTCCGGCCCCTATTTCCCAAAAATGCTAAACAGACTCAGGACTTTGGCACTTACTGTCACCTCTCTCTGATATGCTCTTTCCCTGAATATGCACATGGCTTATTCCCTGATGTTATTTAGGTCTATGCTCAAATGTCACCTCCTTAGAGCTTTCCTTGAACATCACCGAACGGCACTGCCCAAAACTATTACATCTCCTTACCCAACACTTGACACTGACATATTCTGTATCTTTTTATTTGTGTCTCTCCCAACTGGCATGCAAAATCCATGACAGAGCTTCTGTTCTCACCGCTCCATCCCTAGAGCCTACATATCCTGGCACATAGTAGGAATTCAATAGTACAGTTGACCCTTGAACAACATGGGAGTTAGGGGCGCCGAACCCCCCATATCCGCACAGCTGAAAATCTGCATATAATTTCTGACTCCCCCAAAACTTAACTACTAATAGCCTACTATTAACCGGAAGCCTTAACTAGTGACATAGTCAATTAACACATTTTTTGTAGGTTATGTGTATTATATACTGTGTCCTTACAATAAAGCTAGAGAAAAGAAAATGTTAAGAAAATCATAAGAGAAAACACATTTACAGTACTGCACTGTATTCATCCAAATAAATCTGCATATAAGAGGACTTGCACAATTCAAACACATGTTGTTCAAGAGTCACCTGTATATTGCTCAAATGAACTGAAATTTGTTGGGAGAAAGAACGGACAAAAAGGTAAGAAGCAGTTAATATTTCACAATCATTACAGTAATATATGCTTTACATACACTATCTCACCTAATTTTTTTAACAACTCTCCAAGTAAGTATTACTCTATCTATTTTAGGCTTATCCCAATATGAGAGATACATCTTCTAAGATGCAGAAGATAATACCTATCTTAGAAAAATAAAACACCTGGTTTCATTGTTTTCCTACAATTGGCAGAACAATATCTGGCAGATCAAAATGTGCTAGTGAGAGGCAAGTATAGAGCAACAGTTAGGAGGAACCCTCTGAAGCGAGACTTCTTGGGTTCAATGGACTCTGCCACTTTTTAGCAAGAAAATCTAGGTCAAGTTATAAAGTTTGTATCTCAGTCTCCTCATCTGTTTCATTAAGCTCTACAGGGCAGAGATTTTGTTTAGTGCCTTGTTGTCCTCAATAAATACCTGAAGAATGAATGAGTAGTAATACCCATAGCACTGTGAGTTTTATATGAATTAGAACCAATAAAGCACTCAGAAAAGCTTTGGCACATAGTAAATGCTCAATAAATGTTAGTGGTTGTGGTGATTATGTCAGCAGGCAGGTTATTAGACAAAAGGACTTTTCCTTTTGCTCTCAACTCTCATATTTCTTACTCTTTTTCTCAAGATATTTAAGAGACTCAAAAACACATTACTATGCTTTATAAGGAGATTGAGAATTTATATTTTCTAAGAAGAGAATAAAGAATAAAATCCTGGAACAAAGTGAAAAGGAAAATATTCACCAAATGTTGAACGCATCCTGGTGGCAACTGAGGTGACACTATTTTTTGTGTATTGGGGGGGAATATGTGTATTTTGATGTGTACTGGGGGAAAATGACTAGCATAGTAAGCTCATAATTAAAGATTATTTCATAAGACAAAATTATACCTTAAAAAATATAAAAACATTAAGTAATAGGGCAAGCAGTACTCACATGTGGGAAAAAAAAACCTCTGACATTGGTATGCAAATAAATGAAGTTTTAAGCAACAATGCTTTAGAAAAACAGCTCTTAATCTGAAGTCCATTGACTCTAACTTTAAGCACCTGAACTCTGGTATAATAACATGCAAAACTGTATGTATAGTATATGATTCTGGAGGAAACCAATCCAGAGTTTTCATGAGATTCTCAAAAAGGGTTAAGATCTATTGCTCCAGAAGTTTACAATCTAATATGACATCAAATGTCTCTACAAAGAAAACTGTACTTGTGGGACAATACCTCATTATTAAATTGTTTAAAATTTAAAAAGTCAAATGTAAAATTCTTTAAGTTCTTGTACTAATAACATAATAGAAATGTCTAATATGTAAACCAATTAATTTATAAAGCTTAAGCTAGTGTTCAGTGACTTTACTCCAGAACTAAATCCTTCCAATATCTTCCCCACTAGTAAATTTAAAGCCCCTCGAGAATGAAGGCTATCTCTTTTCTCAGCATCTAGAAGAGTATTTGGTACAACAGATTCCTGGTAAATGTTTGATAAATGAATGAATCTCAGGAAGTAAAATTTTACCAAATTGTAGTCAATAAGAATTTACTAACTGCTTGGGAGTCTACAACTGTGAAGAATATAAAATACCTTTAGACTTAAGTTAAAAAACCCGGTTTAAATCCTAGCAACACTATTTCTCTGAGTTTCTCTTTTTTCATCTTTAAAATGATGATTATACGCCTCTCACATAGGGGTTTTGTGAGGACATTACCAGAAATAATGTGTGTGGAAAGCTCAAATAAGTACAGCTTTGTTAATCTCTGATTACTAAATGTAGTTCTTGCTTTTAAATATAATATAACACATTTCAGAAGACAGGTTCTACCTGTGAGGCAGGACAACTCAAGAAATTATATACAAATATGGAAGGACATAACACAGAAAATTATAATACTTAACATTTCATCTTTAATTAAACTTATTTGTAAGTAATGTAACTTATTTACTTATATTAATTAACTTTTCACATAAATTATTTTATACCTTTGCACTTAGGCTGTAACTTCAGGGAACTAGTTTGGTTTTTTTTTTTTTCAAGATTTTATTTATTTGACAGAGAGAGTGAGCACAAGCAGGGGGAGCACAGGCAGAGGGAGAGGGAGAAGCAGGCTCCGTGCTGAGCAGACAGCCCGACACGGGACTCAATCCCAGGACCCTGGGATCATGACCTGAGCCGAAGGCAGCCACTTAACCGACTGAACCACCCAGGCACCCAGGAAACCAGTTTCTAACAGATTTTTTTTTTTTTTTT